AATTTAACTGCTTCTTTAAGGCACTAGGCCTGGCCTAGCAAAGCCTTATAAGTACTATAAAAAGCATCATTACTTAGACTATTAAATACTACCTAATTAGGTCATGGCAATAGCCTCAAGATTATAATAGATTAGGGGGTGTGTCGGACCATACCAGCTGGTGGTGATCTGGTTATGTGATCTTAATCACTTAGTAGTAATTGCATGTAGATAGTTTCTACTATACTTGTACACATAATGAATATCACAAATTAATTGCTTTAAATCTTGATACATTCTTTATTGAAAAGGTAGTTAAGAAAAATACAGTTGTTAATCTACTCATTTTGACTCTATCTACCCTTTAGACTTCCTTATAACTGTGGACCTGGATTTGCTGACTTCAAGTATTAGGCGTCGTCACCATCTCTGTTCATTGCGACTTGCAAACCACACTACCACATTGATGTGATGCTTTTCCCTGTGTTGGTGCTTTGCTTAAGAGAGGTAGGCAACTGCATTAGGTTACAACAAAGTATTACTAAAGAGCAGCGCAGTATCCAGAGCATCATGCATATAATTTGAATCAAAAAGATGTCAAATGGCGCTTCTATTTCCTTCTCTCTTCTCGTGGCATGTTGGGAATATAACGCACGTACCTCTCTAACCTGTTTATCTTATCTATCTGATCTAACTATACCACTCTGTGTAGTTGTTGATGTCTCCTTCACACTTTTGGTAATGAACTGGCCTTTGATTATCGGTAGAACCGGAACTGATATCATATAGGACCACATTATTCCCCTTTGTGTTGAATGATTAAATCCTGTTCTTGTTCTGACGATAGATGGTGGATGACAATTTGAGTACTGTGATTGGCCAGAGCCAGCATCTGTCACTACGTCATCGTCCATCACCCCGACAGAGAAGCAGCAGCAACAGTTGCATGCATCGATGGGTAGATGGATAGATGAAATATCGACTTCATACCTTTAGCTATGTCAAAGAGAGAAAGGGAATGAATGGCTCTCGTGTACATGTCCTGCCAAAGCTAATAAATCTTCCCTAGCAATTTTAAATACTTTTGATATACTTCTGTATCGATCAATCGTCCCACAGGATTCCTTATGCATTTACCCCTCTCCCGCGGGTCACGTATCTGCTGCAATTTATCTAAGCTCCAAGTTCCTCCTTCTTCTCTATCCTCTTCTACACGTCTATCCTCATCCTTTTCTTCCAATCGCGCCGGCCGCTGTGCCTGTGGTTGTCGCAATTCCGCCTCGTGCTCCTGTTCCTGCTGTGCTCATCCATCCTCTCTATCCCCTTTAACCAAAGCTAGTAGATCATTTACCACCACCACTTCGCGTGCACTATCCCGCACATTACCTTCCAGAATGGCCCAGGAATATAAACTCAAGGACATCTCGTCCCTAGCGGACATCAAGAACATGGACAAGGTCGAGTCGGAAGTCGAGGGGGTGGAGGGCGGCAAGGTCCTGGTCCTGCGTTTCAATGGCCAGGTGCATGCGATGAGCCCCAAATGTACCCATTACGGAGCTCCGCTGAAGCTGGGTGTCGTCGCTCCTGATGGTCGAATCACCTGTCCCTGGCATGGAGGTATGTTGGTCCTGCTAAGGAAGTTGGGTTGTGTACATGCTGATCATTGTGGGCAGCCTGTTTCAATATTGGCAGCGGTGACGTGGAAGATGCACCTGCTCCCAACGCATTGAACAAGTTCGAGCTGGTGGAGAAGAACGGTGCAGTTTATATCAAGGGTGAGGAGGCTGCGATCAAATCTGGACAGAGGGAGCCGGTGTTCAAATGCAGCCCTTCCACTGGGGAGAAGGTGGTTATTGTTGGCGGGTAAGTTTCTGATCTTTACAGCGCCACGAGTCTTCTACGCAGCTGATGAGTCGATGTCACAGTGGAAGCGGTACGCTCGGGCTCGTCCAGGCCCTCCGGGAACTGAAATACAAGGGGGCGGTCACAATCATCTCTAAAGAACCGAACCTCATCATCGACAGGACAAAGTTGTCCAAGGCACTCATTCCCGACGCTGAGAAGATCCAGTGGCGCTCTAAGGAGTGGTACGAGGCCGCCTCCATCGAGACCATCTTTGACGAAGTGACCTCCGTCGACTTTAGCGGCAAGACCGTCACCACAAAGTCCGGCAAATCCATGCCATACACCAAGCTGGTTCTTGCTACCGGTGGTGTGCCGCGCACACTGCCCATGGAAGGCTTCAATGACCTGGGAAACATCTTCCTGCTGCGCTTCGTGACCGATGTGCAGAACATCCTCAAGGCGGTTGGCGACAAGAACAAGAAGATTGTCATTGTGGGTAGCTCGTTCATCGGTATGGAAGTCGGCAATGCCCTCTCCAAGGAGAACGAGGTGACCATCGTCGGCCAAGAAGAAGCCCCCATGGAGCGCATCATGGGCGTCGAAGTCGGCCGCATCTTCCAGCGCAACCTGGAGAAGAACGGCGTCAAGTTCAAGATGTCCACCGGCGTCGAGAAGGCAACTCCCTCAGCGACCGATCCCACCAAAGTCGGCGCCGTCCACCTCAAAGACGGCACGGTGCTCCCCGCCGACCTGGTCATCCTGGGCGTGGGCGTCCGCCCCGCGACCGATTTCCTGCAGGACAACCCAGCAGTCCAGCTCGAGAAGGACGGCTCCATCAAGACAGACGAGTACTTTGCCGTCCCCGGCCTGAACAACGACGTCTTCGCCATCGGCGACATCGCTACATACCCCTACCACGGGCCCGGCGCAGACCCGGTAAACGGCACCCCCACCCGCATCGAGCACTGGAACGTCGCGCAGAATGCAGGCCGCGGCGTCGGCCGCGCGATCGTCCACGCCCTCAACACGGGCTCGCTGCAGTCCCTGCGCGCCAAGGCGTTCATCCCCATCTTCTGGTCCGCCTTGGGTGCGCAGCTGCGCTACTGCGGGAATGCCCCCAATGGCTGGGATGGACTGGTGCTCAAGGGCGAGCCGGAGAATGCCAAGTTCGCTGCGTACTACTGCAAGGGCGAGACCGTGGTGGCGGTCGCGACGATGGGCATGGATCCCATTATGAGCAAGTGCGCTGAGTTGATGCGTCGCGGGAACATGCCATCCAAGTCGCAGATCGAGACCGGAGTGGATGTGCTGGCGGTTGATGTGCCGCAGGAGGTGACGATGTAATCCGTGGTCGGGCAGTCCGTACATATGACCGTTGATTATGATAAATAACCAGGTGCTTTCAAGATTGTTGTATTGTGTAGCTCATCCAAGCCATCTATCAAGTTCCGACGCCTGTACGGCTCCGGACTCGGTTTGGGTGAGAGCTTCTCTGTATTTCACTAGCAGATACCATGACAACGCTGAATGAATTTTGATTTCTCCCTTCTAACGCCAAACAAGCATTCAGTATATAACAGGGGAGACGCCGTGCGTCTATGGTAAATGACAAGAACTGAATCATTTCTCCTCCTTTTTCTTCTTCGATTTCGAGGACTTGGATTTCTTCTCCCTTTCCGTCTTGCGCTCCTTCTTCTTGCTCGGTGATTCTTCTAAGGCTGCCGCATCTGCATCGGCAGCGCTAACCTGCGTCTCCGGAGCAGCCGAGGACGAACCTGCTAACGCGCCGGACATGGCGCTCGAGGGTTCCCACTGGCCCTGTGGTCGAGGAGTCATAGAAGAGTAATTCCCATTGCGCTCGTCTTCGAGGATTCGAGCTTCCTCTTCGGGCGACAGCATCGTACCCTCGATGCTGAGGAAGCCACGCTCACGATCAGAGCCGGGGATGACGTCGATATCGACGACTCTGAAGCGGACGGTTCCGCGGACGCGGTGCCCTGAGACGGACTGGAAGTAGCCCTCGGCGGCAGCCTCGTCGTCCTCGGCGGAGCCGTTGTTAAGGTCCATGGTTTCGGAGAAGGGGTTCGCGTCGGAGGCGAGAGAGATGGGCTTGAAGTGTTCCTTTTCCGGGTCGAAGTGGGACGAAGGCTCGGAGTCGTCTTCGTCTTCTGTCGACGAGAAGACCTTCTTCTTTGGCTTTTCGCCGCTGTTGAGTCCGTTTTCCTCTTCTTCTTCGCCGGGTGGCACCCATTTCCAGTTCGAGGGGAGTCTCTTGCGCTCGATTCCGACGGAGAACAGGTTCAGGACGACGGCGCCGAGGAAGCCCTCGGATTGGACGTTGACCCACCCCTCGAGAATCTGGCCGCGCTGGGGGCGGAAAACTAGGAATGTGGCTGTCAGGTACACGTACAGGACGCCGTACTCGTCTGCTGTCTTTGCGAGCGTAAGCGGCTGCGGGTTGTCTTGGGGATCAGAGGATGTGGAAGAGGCGCTCGGCGGTTCACTCGATATCGAGGCGTTGGAGTAGGCCAGGATCACACCCTGTAGAGGGGGGTAGTATGTGAGGAGGAGAGGCGAGAGGTGCTCTGCCAGCAGAGAGGCCAGCGCATGGGTAGGCGAGATGGAGATGGGCGATAGCGGGAGGTAGAGTGTTGCGGTGGTCAGAACATAAGGCGAGTCGGAGGGTGATGGTGCGTCCTCCGACGACTTTTGCTTGCTCTTCTCTTTGCTCTTAGAGGATTTTTTGCTTGTCGTCTCGTGGACCGTTGTCTCGTCGGCGATCAGGTTGGAGTCGTGCTTCCGCTTCTTCTTCGACGACTGGTCCTTGTGCTTGTGTTTGCGCTTGCGCTCAGGCTCTGCCACTGCGGCAGGCGCAGGGCTTGAGTCTACATCCATTGCATCGACAGCCATTGTGCAATGGGAACGCCCCCAGTCTTATCTAGTGGAGTGTTGAAGATCGACTTGCGGAGGTCGAGAACTTTTTTTCTTCGCTTTTTTTACTTTCTTCCCCGTTGGGGAGAATTTGGTAGGCGGTGGGTGAGGCGGTGAAGATGATGACAGCGAACCATATCGCAACTCCAGCGCAAGAGTAAACATCACCGACTAGCTTTCTATAGATTCGTCGCATAATTGGATACGGTGCTTTGTTGCTTGATGGAGAGAGTGTACCTGCAGTCATGTCGTCCCTTTTGTCCTTTGTTGGGTGGGCTGTGCTTCCAAATGTAGGTTACCTCCGCGCAGATGATGAGCGCATGTCCACCTCTTATCTTCATACTCTTGTTAACACTGTTGCGTCGCTTGCAGTATGTGACCTCAATACTCCAGAATGTCTACTATGGAATCACAATCCGCGCCGGGGAACCGCGACCCCAGCCGCCGTCGCCGCGTTATGCTCGGCATCGCCGTCGGATTTTCATCCTAGTCGTCACGAGCTATCTCCTGTACACACTCTACGAAACATTTCATCAAGTTCAGGTCACCGGCGATTTCTACCGGGTTCTTGGTGTCTCTCCCTTGGCCGACGAGAGGACTATCAAGTCGCGATTTCGGCGGCTGGCAGCCCAACATCACCCGGACAAGCGGGGCTACGGGGATGGTGGCCCATCCGACGATTACTTTGTATATCTGAAGCTGGCACAGGATACATTGTTGGACCCTGCCAAGCGATTCGCATACGACCGCTTTGGCCCAGATATGCTGTCCTGGGGTGATCGGAAGACGATGCAGGACTTTCTGTTTGCTGGGTTGCAGCGATCGGTGCCGCAGTATGTGGTTGGATTACTGACTATCATTGTTCTGAATTTTACTTATTGGTCAAACTGGGGTCGCTATGTAAGCCATCATCCGGGGGTCCTGAAGCAATGGAATCAGTCTACTAACTTGAATCAGTGGCGTTTCTTCACCTTCGCTGCGCTCATCACGCTCGAAGCAGCCCTGGTCACTCGCCCTAAAGCTCTTTTCATGCCTGGTCTCTATATTCCACCGGCCGTCCGAAGCTTGCTGGGGTTCTCTCCCACTTTCTACCTCTTACCCTTCCAGATCTTGACGCTGGCGCAGCGCGCTTCAGTCACTCTACATATATTCATCTCCCAGCTGACGCCGCCAGAAGTGAGCAAGGGATCGTCGTCTGCGCCAGGCGAGCGTATCCATCCACAGACGATGCAACGACTCGCGCAGCTGGGTCAACTCTCCCGCGCTACGGACGGTGAGGCGACACGGCTTCTTCAGCTGGGCCTTGCTCCCTTCCGAGGAGACCGGGAAGGGACTGCAACCTTGCGAAAGGGAATGAAGGAGGGTCTGGTGCTGAGCAGTGTGAGGGCCAGTCCAGAAGTTCAGCAGGCTATAGCGCAGGTAATGGAGCGCAAGAAGCCGGAAAAGAATGGCGAGGCTGATTGAATCTGTCGCTCGGACGTCATACAGCTGTCATTTGCATTGATACCAGCGTTGAATATATTTTGGAAGTTTTTTTGGCGCATGTAGATATTGAATATATACATTGAAACTGTAGACCTATTGACCAAACAACCTCACGTCTGAGAAAGCGTCATCACCATCTCCCAATAATTACCACAGGCCATTCCAAACCTTTCTACAGAGTAGTGATCAACTAGCTGGAAACATTCAAATACACGGTTCGCGAAGCCGCTTGTGCATCTCACCAAATTCCATGGATTTATGGAAATTTCTCATTTCCCGAGGGCTGGGCGGTTAGTTCACTTAGTCTGAGCTGGGATTGCGCAATTACGATTACGGATGCGAATGGAAATTTCGGTTTGCCCTCAAGTGGATTTTCTTCCTGCGATCGTGGATTTGTTCCGAATGTGGCGAGCCGGTCGGGGCGCTGATTTTCTTGGTTCTCGAGCAGTTTCGTTACTTGCCCTTCTTGGCTACAGAGTAAGATTGTATTGAAATAGTCTGTGGGACTGGGACGATGATGATCCTGTTCATCATTGATAGAATTGCTTGATTCATCGATCTAGCTGTGATCCAGGCCAGACACTGTGTGGAATACTCGATGGCTTTTGATGCATCAGGTGAATGATGGGGGTGTCTGTCAAGTGATGAGGTGGTGATGGTGACGCTTTACGGAGTAGCATGATGGTGGTGATGCTTGTGATCCATCCAGTATGGGCCCTTACCTTGAAAAAGTCAATACGGCCATAGGACCATCACAGTCCACAGTCCACATTTGACGGAGATTCTTATGGATATTGGATGGAATCCGGCAAGACGGAAGCTGTGGAATTCAGAATCTAGTCTAGCTAACCGGGTTGATGCGGGATAGATACCAATCCATAAGTTTGCAACTATTTCGAGTAACACCATTCGAAGTAATAGTGTACTAATCTCTGGAGTTGTCGGCGAATATAGAAATGGATATGAGATACGAATATAGTACAATGCTATATATTGCATTCAGTGAGATCCTGGTCATGGAGAGGGGTTACAAGGCGCAGCTCTTGAACAGGATCTATTACTTTAGGGTGAATAACGATCATCTCCGGAACGCGTACGGCGAGGAAGGACCTAGACAGAGTGATTCGATGATCAAAGTATTGTTACCCGTTGACAATAAGAAAGTCAATGAAAGAGACCTGTGTCAATGGGTCATCTAAATAGGCATTTCAATTTCGCCCGTAGCAATAGGAATTTAGGATACACAAATGAAGGTATTATACTACCCTACACTGAAAGCATGCCTCTATAAGGCCAAATAGTACGTGTATTACTGGTTATACCTTAACATGTATGGTACTGTCATTTACACGGATCTTGACTCATCTTCTGTATCATTGATTGGTAATAGACGCGTACCTGGGTAATAATACCATACTCGAACGCCGGTCTGACATTCCCATACTCTCCCATCCATCGGCCTCCTCACCCTGACAATCGACCTGACTCTGACCGCACCGAACGAAAGTCTGGCTGAGTTCCCCTAAAGTAGACGAGTGAAGAAGAAAACACACACACAAACCAACCAACAATGAAACCACCACACAGCGCCTCGACATCCCCATCCCTTTCTTCCATCCCCCGTCCATCCTTCCTTATTATTCCTCCCTCACCCTCCTCTTCCTCTCATTCTCTACTTACCCCAATATCACCATCACCACCACCACTATCGCTTCCTCGGACTATGTCACCTCTGCTTCACCCTTGCTACCGACCTCAGCCCTGCCAGACTTTTGCCTCGCCCTGACCAAGTGTCGCCCTCCGCTTTCGAACGTCTTGGAACCAACTAACTCAACCCAACCTGCGCAATTTGTCCATCTGACACTCACGTCACGATCACATTTACATCCTAATCACCCCGTGTCACATATTTAATCGACAGTGCTACTTTTGCTCTTGACGGGTTTACCCATAGCCTTTGTCAAGAGTAAAAGCAAAAGAAAAATCACTGCTTTACCTCCCAAGAGAAAGGCAAATATTCAGACGAAAACAATGGCGGCTGCTACATCCGCCACAAACGGTCGTTCCAACCGCTCTGCGGCCCCCAAAGCAATCGTCGTCCTCAGGTTGTCGCCGGAACTGCTCGGTCGGTTTGCTAGTCCGGATGTGAAAGAAAAAGCGACCAAGAAAAACAGCACCAGCGCGAGTCCACCCGTCAAGGAGAAAGAGCCCTCATCTCCTGCCTCGTCCTCCGCAGATCCTCCCATCCCACCATCGTCCGTCGACAATGCTTCAGATGCCGCATCTACTCCTGCTCCTGGGACATCCGCCGCAGATACCCCTCGTCGCAACGGTTTACCGGCTCCCAAGTCGGGAACCAAGCGAAGCGCTGGCCAGGCGATCGAATCTTTCTCTAGACCGAGGGGAAAGCCTGGCCCGAAGAAGAAGCCCAGACTGTACGTACTTGTTCCCTCGCCGTCCCTTTGTCTTTTACCACCTTACTAACTCTTGACATTCTACAGTGACGATGGTACTGGCGATTCTGTCAAAGTAACCTCCTCCCGATTGGGACCCAAGGCCAACATGGGTGCCATCAACGCCGGTCTTCGCGCCTTGGATCGATCTGGAACCCCTTGTCGCAAATGGGAACGGAAGGCCCTCCAGCTGAAGAGCTTCACTGGTGTCCAGTGGCAATTGCCATCATGGCGAGCTCCTCGACCACAGAAGACCGAGACAAACGGCGAGATGAAAGAAGCCGCTGTCGATACCGGTGATAGTGACAGCAAGGCCAACCAGAGTGCTAGCGGTGCGCCCAGCGAGAAAAGCAACTCCGGCGATATGGAGCTTACTCCGGCGCCTCCTAATATTACCGAAGCATCTTCACCAGCAATTGCTATGACTGCATAGTTTCGTCCAGCTGAAGTTTACTATGCTCCTCTATTCACCCTTTACTCTTCTTGTACAATATTACTCTGATTCCGCTTTTTTATATTTTGACAACTTCAAGCGTGTGGTTTTGTGTCTTGAAGGCCGCTTTTCTCGGCGTTGGCGTTTATGTCAGTCACACATCATTGCTGGTTTTCTCTGTCTCGTGGTAATGTCCACTATTGCGGCATGGCATCAAAACGTTTTTCGCTGGATGACAGAGATGTATTCTCGATTCTTCATTTGATGTGCTAGTCTTGCTTGATTAATCTTTGTCTATGTATCACTAGGGTTTCCAAAGGAGGATATTAGGATATGGCCTTTTGCACTGCATATGTCGGGTATACAGGAGTCCGTCGGATGATTGAGTCTGTTTGAGTATGTTGGACATGGGCAATCCCACGCATTAGAGAAAAAAAGAAAATAATTCCAACTTGTCATGCTTTCTACATATTGAAAATTTTGAGGATATTTCGATCTGTCGTCCTCGTTCATTCAACCTCTTCATCAGTGGATATCGCCTATTGTTGCCAGCACTATTCCTTCCCATAGGTCTTGGTATTTTGACTGGATGTGCGTACAGTATCGAAATAGCACTCTCACTGACCATCTAAACAGTCCTATTCTGGTATTGCTGGCTATTTGAAGACAAACTGACAGGAGATTGTCCGACAGAGGGGAAGCGACTGTCAGATCAGCTGCTAGAATCAGCCAGGATTGTCATCAAAAAAAGGAGGGGCTTTATCGCTGGTGCTTATTATTTATGTTCCTGTACATAATTGGAATTAAAATGACTGATCCGGATGTGCTTAGTACCATGAGTGGTATGATGTGTACTGGTCATGTCGGCGACACAGAAATGCATATATACTCTCAGCCAGAGGAAGCCTATCGTAGGATCGTCCTAGGTGGTGCACAGCCGACCTCAGTACAGAGCCAGTAATGCCAGGATTGATGAATCAATCACTCGTCTGGTGACCACATCGCTGCGAGTATGTACTTTTTTATTATTATTGCCCATGTAGCATGTACAGTTACCTCCTCTTTATCCCATTCCAACCCCAAATGAGAAGCCCCCGTCCAGTCCGTGTCCATTTCCCCGCAGTCCTAATTCTTCCTTCTCATGCCATAATGGTCTCGTGCGACTTCCCCTTCGTCGGTCGCTCCAAGCTCGTTCAGTAATTTCTCTCCCGTCGAACGGGTAGCGATTACTGCTGCGTGTTGTCCTTTCTTACTTACTATTCTGTCACTCTAGCACGGCGTTCCACGTTCTGGTTTTGATTGCTTTCTTTTATTCAGAAGTACGGTGCTGGCTCGAGCTGTATCATCAGCATTGACGCTATTCCCCATCTGCTACGATTTTATTCCGGTCGATGAGCTGATTCGTAGTGACGCTCCAACTGTTGTTGCTGTTGCTGCTGCTTGTTCTTCATTCTGCCTTCCCGGAAAACAAAGGGCACCACTCAACCGCAAGCAACAACGGACAGAGCAAAAGAGGATAGAGACTTTGGTGGCTGTTACAACAGACAAAAACTAACTTATTACTCTACTGACCAAACGGTGATGATTTGATCGAGTGTCGGCTGTTAACCGTGGAATGAGCGTGGTACTGCCTCGAGAGAAGCTCGCGTGAGGGCCGTCGGATGCCCCCCTCGTCACTAAAAGTACCCGCCTGGCCGTTGGCTTTTGCTCCATCCAGCGAAACGACGACAGCATGACCGATGCGCCTTTTTCCCCTTCCGGTGGAGCTCGAGGAGCTCCTCCTCTGTCAACTTCATATTCCGGTCCAAGCATCTCATCTATTCCACGCCGTTCTTCCTACGCCTCGGTCCTGTCCGGGACAGCCCTCTCGCCACCAAGCAACAGTAGTCCTCCTTCCCATCCTCTTATCTCTAACTCCACTTCATCGTACCCCCCACCCTTTTACCCCGACGGCCGATTACTGAGGCCTTCCTCCTCCGCCTTGGATGCAGATATGCAGTTAAACTCCCCCTGGAGGACGACGCCTGGCGATTCGCTTCCTCCTTATTCTCGGAAGTTTGCCAATCTTCCTCGATACGATACATTATTTCAGAACCCCGGCAGCTTTTCCGATCACTCATTATTTACTCCATCCTATCTCCGCAACTCCCGATACATCGCTCGCCTCGAGGCCGCTCGCCGAACAAAGCTCGCTTCTCAACGAGATGTTCCACCTTCCGCTTCTACTTCAAACCCTCTGTCGACTTCCTCTAGCCATGCAAGCTTGCCTCGTATAGCTCCTTCCCATCGTGGGATGACGTATGATATCATCGAAAGGGAACCGCCGAGCGACGACGATCATCTCATGCCACTCCCCTCACGATGGAGCGATAATGATAAATATTCCGGTCTAGAGCTCACAAACGGGGGGCTTGAGATTCGGTATCCCGGTCCGGCCAACAAGCACGATCATGAGGCTGCCGCTGTCCGTGCCGATCACCCCATGCCCCCGCAGTGTGGCATTTATTACTTTGAGATTACGATTCTATCAAAACCCAAGGAAGGGTATGTACTTCGCGTGAATTTGACGAGGAGGTGCTGACAGTGTGCAGGATGATAGGAATCGGGTTCTCCAGCAGCAAAGCGTCCGTTGAGAGGCTTCCCGGATGGGAGCAAGAATCTTGGGCATACCACGGTGACGATGGCAAATCATTTTTCGGAGAGAATCAGGGTCAGGGACGACCGTACGGTCCGACCTTCGGTGCAAATGATACTGTCGGATGTGGTGTTAACTTCGCCACCGGATGCGCTTTCTTCACCAAGAATGGCGTCTTCCTTGGTATGTCTGCCGCCTTGGTGTTCGTCTACTCGAAATGGAACTAACATGCTTGATAAGGAAATGCCTTTCGGGAATTAAGAAATTTGAAAGTTTATCCCTCTGTGGGGATGAAGAAGCAACCACCTGTGCACTTGGTCGCCAATTTCGGTCAGCAACCGTTCATGTTCGACATTGACGGCATGGTCAAAGTATGTTCCACAGGTATCTCCGCCGGACGTTAGCAGGAAGTCTGACTTTATTACGTAGAGAGAGAAGTTCTCCATTCATTCGGAGATCTACGCAACAAGCACGGCCAACCTACAACCACCGCTTGATGAGAACGCTTTGCTTCAAGAATTAGTTGCACAGTTTCTGGCTCATGAAGGCTATGTCGACACCGCTCGGGCTTTCTCAGAAGAGGTTGCTGCGGAGTCGGCGGCTTTGGAGAATGGTCGAAAGGAATCCCTCACGAAGTATGAAGTGGAGGAAGGGCTTGACGCGATCAACCGACAGAGTAAGATCACACCTGCTTTTCTTTGATTTCGATTTTATAAGTCAGTCTGACAATTCGGCGTGTAGAAATTCGGGCTGCTATACTTGAGGGGGACATCGACAAGGCTCTCAAGTACACAAATGCCTACTATGGGAACGTTCTAGAAAGCTATCCTCACATTCAATTCAAGCTGCGGTGCCGAAAGTTTTTGGAGATGATGCGGCGCTGCAACGAGCTCTCCTTGACAGCGTCCAAAAAAGGCAAAGCGTCCAACGGACTTTCCGATGGCAGTGCGGTGTTTGACCAGGAGATGGAACTTGATGAGCAATTACAGGAAGGTGACGGCTGGGATACCGAGGGCATGGATACCGAAGAATCCGAGAACTCAGGGAAGTTCCACGAGCTTCTCACCGAAGCTGTTCAATACGGGCAGCAGTTACGCATGGATTATCCAAACGACGAGCGAGGCGGCGACAAGAAGGTGCTGGATGACATCTTCTCGTTGGTTGCCTATCAGGATCCGAAACGATCAGTGCACGGCCACTACCTTGATCCTTCAGGACGCGTAGCTATTGCGGAAGAACTTAACTCTGCCATTCTAGGTCAGTTGTGCTCTTTCGTGTGCTTCAATGCAGCCAATTGCTAACACTGATTCTCTTACTAGTGTCACTAGGGAAGCCATCTTCAGCCGCTCTGGAGCGGCTCTATCAACAGACAGAGGTGCTTGTCAACGAGATTAGCGAAGAGGGCGGCGCTGGGGCGTTTATCAATGTGCGCAATGATTTTTTGCTTTAGAGTGATTGCCGGCGATTTAACAAGAGCACATGAATCCGTAACTTCTTGAAGGTCCATGGTGTCATACGAAAATGAAACTACAACCTTTCCCCTCTAATCTGGCGCATCTTGTCCGAACTCTGACTGAGAGACCCTGTGTTGGTGAAAGCAACATAGAATAGTCTACTGAGAGGATCAGGCGACCATGTCAGACAGAAGCATCAACTTACGTAGTGATTTGGCCGGAAGAGTACCACGGCAACGTTGTAGTACCGAGCACTTGCACCACGTAGCGTAGGGTTTGCGCTGGGATGCTAACGCGGTGGCTGGGCCTCAATGACAATGCTCGGCGACTGCCTGTGTGTCTAAATATTGAAAGCCCAAAAGTACTCGACCTCATTGGCATCGCTAATGCGAGGTAATGGGATGTGACTCAAACGAGTTGTTTCATCTTTACTCTGCCTGTTGGGCGTGGGCAGATGATCAATATTGCTTTAATTCTGGCTACTTTAACAAAGACCCATGCCGCATACAGTCCTGTAAGAGGAAGGCTAGTCTCTCTGGTAGTTCTTCAAGTGTTGCAGGTTCCTTAGGTAGGTATCATGGCTTTGTAATATTACTGTACCATGTCTATGAGCCTAAGGTACCTTAAGGTAATCACTCATAGCCCGGTCCGGTAAGGTAAGACAGTGTAACAACGATAGTTCACATGTTCATTTGGCTCTCTCCGCCTTTATGCATAATCAACGACCCTGCTTTTCTTCAGTCCTTGTTGGGTAATATCATCACAGTTATTATTTGCTTATAATAATCACGTAGTACCAGTAACTACACAAAAAAAAGCAGTCACACCTATTACCATATCTCTCTATGATATCTCTTTGCATGGTCTAATATCATCTTCCTTTTGCCCCACCAACGTCTCAGCTTCGATGAACTGGCGCTTCCGCCCCAGGTCATCGCTCCGTCAAGGGGTGCCAGCTCATTATCTATCCAGTCGAGAGATCAACTGACAAACTCTCTTGGGAAGGTCGCATTCCTTTCCCTGATCTCCTCCGCCATGGATTCTCATCCCCGGCCGAATAGTCCGGTCCCTGCAGGGCAGGTTCCCTGCATTCCTACCCACTCCTCCTCAACGCCAGCCGTTCTTCGCTGTTGTTGTGGTCGTAATGATTGTGCATTCCTCCATAATAATAACCTAGCCTTGGAGGGATTGGAAAAGGATCTTGAAACAGCTGCTCGATTGGGCCAGGTACGTTGTTGACTTACCTTTTCTCTTACTGTCTGTCCCTTTGTCTCCTGGAAAGAGGCTTTCTGGAAACGTCAGGCGTCCATTCATAAGTGCCTGATGTTTGGTTGTTATGATTGCACACATACCTCAGTTTTTGTATATACGCATACTTTCGCACATTCTCCTTCCTGGTGGGACGACCATTCTCTTCCTTTACATTATTAAGCTTTTGCCTCTGAAATTCTTGTCCATATTCCCTGTCCATATCGGGGATTAGGCGAAGATCCCCCAAAAGAACACGAGTATTTATTCTTACCCATTGTGTCTACTGCTGAATTGCTCGACCATCATGGCGTCTCAGGGACTGCGGTCCCCGATTCTTTCCCATTGTGTTACAGTCCGTCATGGCTGTCCAAGCAGATAAACCTGCAGCGGATCTCCCGTCAATGAACTCATCATCGCTAACCTTTGCTCTCCAGGCTCTGCTCCATCGCCATGAATCGTACATGGCCGAGGCGGAGGAAGACCGCCGGCGGTTACTCGCCAATATTGAGAATCTGGAGCGTGAGAAACGCCAGGTTGAGGCCGAAAATGCCCGCATCATCGAAGAGAACCGTGGTTTGCTGGAGCAGTTGGACGGTCTGAACAAGGCCGTCGCCGAATCGGACGCTCATGCCAAGTCGCTCGCGGCTACACTAGAGTGTAGAGAGGCCGAGCTGCGCAAAGTGACGATGTCGGCCGCCCGTGCTGCGGAACTCGAAGTCCAACTGGCCCAGATGGAGGCCGAACAGTCGAGACTGCAGGAGACTTTACAGGTGGCCCAGGAAGATAGCAAGTCAGCCGTGCAGCGATGGAAGAAGGCCGAATGTACCCTCCGAGACTTACACGATCAAGTCGACCGAATCGAGAAGGAGGCCCGGGAGGAGCGTGAACGACACAACGAACTCATCCAGCGCATGGAGCGGAGAAGGGCGGTGGAGCGCGAGCTTGACGGTGCGGCTGGACGCTTAAAGGGCGCTGCTGCCGCGCAGGAGTTAAGTCGGAATCAGGGCAACCCTAATGTCGTCTCGCGCTTCGTTCGGGACATCCTCCAGGATAATGCGAATCTGCAGATGGGAATCATAGAGTTACGGGAGATGCTCGAAAGCTCGAACCAGGAGGTGCAGAATCTGCGAGATCAGATCCTGTCGCATCAGCCCTTGACTTCAACCGGTGAAGACGATGAGCGAGAGCCGCGGCCGTCATCAACGACATTGGATCACGAATTAGACTCGAAAGAATCGCGCCGCGTATCGCAAGAATTTCATATTCATCATCATTACCATACCCCGTCCATCTCCGTTGGCTCCAAGAAGGAAAAGAGTGCCATCTTTCGTCGATCCAAGAAGAGACGGTCTCTGGGAGCCACCACAGTCATGCACTCGGCGTCGACCTCCCAGGCCTCCCGGAGATCCTCGCACCAGCACCAGTCGTCCGCCTCCTCGACCTCAACTATTTTGTCTCAGACGTCTGTTTCAATTCCTCCAGCCGCGGCTTCCCGCCGTTGGTCACTGCGATCACCCGGAGCCGAATCCTCGCTAGCGAGCTCGCCACAGTCAGGGTATCGAGCGTCATCCATCTTCGACCGGGTGGAACGCGGTTTCGAGTCGTCGCAACCGACTAGTCCTGAAAGCACGGCCGTCTCGTCTCCGGTAATGGTCTCTCGCCACAAGAACGTCCCCTTTGACGTACCATTCCGGCCTCTGGACGGACTTGATGGGACAGAGAGACTCGGTGATGATTCGATGCACATGGCATACGACTATTTTGGGGACCATACGAACTATGCAGAGCCGGATCGGATGCCGCTCCAATCGGTGATACCCGAGGAGATGGAGGATTCCTCCTCTGCCCACTATGCGGTGTCGGTCCCCGACCGGCCTCCCGCAATGTCTGACGATGTGTTCTCGACACCGCAAAGTACCTCCCTACGCAGACGTCAATCGCACGAGAGCCTCTTTTCCATTGCAGGCATGGACATTCATACACCCAGTCGGCGCCCTTCGCGAATCAGCGACCATCTTCAATCCAGTCTGCCGATTCGCGCTCCACGCCGCATCATATCGCCTAGCCCGCAGCTCTTCTCGCCATCGCCCGTCATTTCAACCAGTACGGTCACGGCAGACCGAGAGCCACCAAAGGCCTCCGAGCATTCCCCCCGAAAGTTCCTCGCTACCGTTGCAGGCCGAAGCCGCACTTCGGATACTCAATCTGCTGTGTCCGCGGACAGCGGCTCGACCTACTCCACTGTCATTCCGAACCGGAAGGCTTCGCTGAGTCGTCGAGTTGGAGGCTGGGTGCGCGGTCGTTGGGGCATCGCTGCTGTCTCTGCAGAGGGGAATGCTCAGCCTCAGGCCGAGTCGGATGCTTTGCCTCCGGAAAGCACCGCCTCGCCAGAACCTGCCCGTCCATCTTCTGCCGGCGCAAGAAGGAGCAGGGCCAGCTTCGACGCTGTCCCGAATCTGCGATACAGATACCCGGGTGTCAACCAGACAGGACCGATCATGGGCCTTCGACCGCCCCCGCGAGCTCCTGTCTCATTGCATCCGGAGCAACTGGATGAGGGACTTTTGAGAGAGAGCTTGGCCGAGTGATTTCCCTTGGAGCCACACCAATCCTCGTCCTCTTTTGACTCTTCAGTCGTCTATCGTTTCATCTTTATACTCGGCTTTTCGACATTATATTACTACTTTTGCATCTCGTTGTATGACCCGAATGATCCCTCCATTCTTTGCATCTAGCCACGGATCTGGAGTACCGTTCTTTTGGTCACATTTTCCTTTACTTTGACGGTCTATATGATACCCCTACAGCCGCCCATTTCTTATGTATCGTTTGCCTCATGGCGTATACTTAGCTACATGCCACAATTGATGACCATACTTCATACCGGTCTACCAGTTTGTAATCACCTATCGAGGAGAAATAGAGGTTGCCGCAAGGCACATGCCTCTTCTCGTCTTCGAGGCCGGCAGTAATAGTATACATTTTCGCGATAGCGTAGAGAGCATTCATGACTCCGTCACACCAGAGATACCATCATTAATCGGGTGAATCGTCCACCACCCAACGCGGCAGCGTGTCATACCCCACGCCTGGATATCCGATACGTACGAATGGGAATACTAGTCGAATGGAAGAACCCCGTTTGCGTCTCCGCAGAAGGAGACTCATACGGCATGCATTCCACCTGGAACTTGTTTGTTTCTGCGCGAAACCTTTAGTAGAGTACTTGCATCAGTTGGATTGGATCGAGGCAAGGCACTCACCACAGGCATTTAGGAAGGTCTGGAAGGTATCCTGGTTCCGGATCGTCGCGGAGATGATGAATACCCGGAGGTGGTAGTTTTCGAAGAGGTCGCGGAGGGTGGAAACGAGGAGGGGGACAAGGTCGGCGTCGTAGATCTTTTTGTCTCTTTGTTAGTTGCACGATGCCTTGCATTATCTGTGCTGTAAGGCAGGCCGTTGATTCCGCGGCCACGGGCCAGAGGACGATCATGAATGGCCATGTTCACTTACAAGATCAGCACCGAGTGCAACGTCAAAGGCCAGATCGCCGTTGCCTAACACCGCGGCAGTCTCTGCAGCGTCGCCCTCTCCCTTGCCCTCGCCGTCATGAGTCAAAGACAAGGGCGTCCCCCACTCCCAAATCGCAGGATGAAAGACAGCAGGGTCGAGCTCATTCCGCCGCATACAGTCACGGATATTCTCGATGAGGGCCGGCTCGCGGTCCGTGGCGACCACGCTCTGCACGTCGAGATGTTTTGCGCAGAACATGGATAGGAAGCCCGTGCCGGCGCCGAGCTCGATGACCCGGTTCCCGCGCACGAGGGCCTTCCCGGCGGGCGTGGAGAGGAATGAGCCGAGATGAAGGGCTGCTTCCCAGGTGCGGAATCCTGTTGTTCCTGCGGAGAGGATTAGGCCGCGTGATTCGCAGGTGACAATTGTGCGGGTGCTTCTGTGTTCTTCTGAGGGAGCACCATCTGCTTCTGAATCTGAAGCTGGAACTGGGGCTGTGTATTTCACATAGGCCAGTTGCTGGGCTTGTTGCAGAGCTGATGGCTTTGGTTGCGTCACGAGCGTGCTCCAGCATTCCATGAGATCATCTGAGATCTCCTAGAAGAAGAGACATGTCAGAATGCGAGCATGAAAGTAATGAATATGTCTACTGGTAGTCCATTTCGAGAATTATTGCATACAAAGGGCTGTGTAAGCCGGGGCTACTCAACGTAACGTGGTACAGGGGTTTTCATACATCCTCCTCAGGGTCTGAAATTGACTGTTCCAGTACAGACAAGATATTCTTTAGAACACGAGCCCGGTAGTTCACGGGGGGAATCGGCCACAAAGCAGCCTCGTTGAACATTCGTTCGTAGAGGGCTGCCTGAGTGGTAGATTTGATCATGGTCCTGCCATCGGGGAATTCTAGCAGGTGGGGTTCGACCTGCTGGAAATATTGCGCGACCAATTTGTCAATGGAGACACAGTTATCATTGTGACCGTCATCCTCAACGGAGGATGATACAAGGGACATATTGCCTTCAACCGATATCTTCCATTATCCTCCGTACAGGGCTCAAATTAGTATGGAATGATACAAATGTATGGCCGGTCGGGTCAGGTGCACGCTAAACCACAACGGGCTAGCGGGTGTCCTAGCCGAGCCCACAGCTGGAACTGCACAACGAAACGGAAGCAAAATTGAATCGCATTTCGCGAAACCCGGCAACGACAGCAGCGACTTCGACAATCCCCCCAAACCTCTCGTCCCTGTCGAGTTTCTGCTCCTTTTCTCGCTCGCAGATTCTCGCCGCTGGTGATTCAACTTTCTCGTCAATCCCACTCACCGCAATCATGGCCGACACTCCCGTTACCCTGCGGACTCGCAAGTTCATCCGCAACCCCCTGCTCGCCAGAAAGCAGATGGTCGTGTAAGGAGCCCTTTCTTTCCTCCCTATCACGCGCTTGAGAATTTCCAGGGAGAGGGTCCCTTCTGGTCAAAATTTTTTCAAAGTGGTTTTGTGTGCTGGAAGAAAGGATTTTGAGTATGGAACATGCGGAACGACAAAAGATACAGAGGCAACACATGGCGATGATAATGGAGATAATCGGTTAACTTATCACCTGCGAATTCTATAATGGAGGAACTACCCGGAAATTCTCAGAGCACAGATGCAAACGACATTTTTGTCGTGATGATGATGACCAGTTTGATGATGATTCTAACATCGACTTCTTACAGGGACGTCCTCCACCCCAACCGTGCTAATGTCTCCAAGGACGAGCTCCGCGAGAAGCTCGCCGAGCTGTACAAGGCCAACAAGGACCAGGTCTCCGTCTTCGGTTTCCGCACTCAGTACGGTGGTGGCAAGAGCACTGGCTTCGCCCTCGTCTACGACTCCCACGAGGCTCTGAAGAAGTTCGAGCCTCACTACCGCCTGGTCCGCATCGGTGCCGCTACTAAGATCGAGAAGGCCAGCAGACAGCAGCGTACGTTTGAGCCACAGCCCTCTAGCAGCCCCTCGAGATTAGATTTGGCATACATACATGCCTTTCATATCTCCGAGAGTTACTCAATCAAGCATCGCTAATCTCTCTTCCCAATCTATAGGCAAGCAACGGAAGAACCGTTCCAAGAAGTTCCGCGGTACCGCCAAGACCAAGGGACCCAAGAAGAACAAGGACTAAATGCCTTCGGCTTGATCCTGGGGAAAGGAGTTGGAGGTGGACTCGGATATGGGGGCGGACGACGCGGCCAGGGGCTGACCCTGCTGGATGTGATAATAGCGGTGGTTTCGGTGGCGCATACTGTTACGCCCTTTATCATGACCATGACGATACAGACAGGGAAAATTCGAGATTTGGGGTAATTCTCTGGGATGAAAATTCATTTTCCTTTCTTTTTTCTTTTTCTCTCTCTTTCCTGCTTCCTCTCTCTCTATCGCCTCTGGTTTCCTGAACCAGAAACAGGCATCCTACAATCATCTCTCTTACCAGCAGCTCCTACCGCAAGTCACTCAATTCAGAAGCCTCCAACATCGGGACTCGGTCGATGTACTATTTTTAAAAAAGCAACAAAAGATCTGCTCCGGTTATTCCTTGTCTTTGTTTCCGGTCTGCTTTTGGACGACGGTAGATGCTGGCTCGGCCGTAGGCTACTGCTATTTCGCAAGAAAGACGTCTTTGTCTCATCTTTCGTAGCTACTGTAATTGGCAGCATACTCAAGGCCTGTCGTATGTCTGGTCATCGAATAAACTGACTTGTGTATACAATGATCCACCACTCTGGTAATCATACCCTCATACGTATCGCTCTGACTTTGGCTAGTTATATCAACATACATAGACTAGCGTGGTGGATATGACAGGTCGTATCCGTCAATACAACAATATATATTTTTGGTGCTCAAATGGAGGCGAATATTGTCATTCCTAGCGGATACCAGGCAGTCTAGCCACAGGCATACTTTGTGCTAATCAGTCCAATTATAGATGGAATATGACAAAGTATAACAGGTAAAGGACATCCCAAGAGAGAGCAAAACAAACTCCCGCCACATTGTGATTGAAAGAAAGAGGAGAAAGAAAGGAATCTGGCAACCAGACCACTAGTTCCCTATTAAACAAGACGCATGAAAAGGATGATAGGTTAACACGAAAATCGCCCACCCTGGACCAATACTCTACAACCTCCAATATTAGCGCAACATCTCAATCTGTCCAAGTGCAGAAGAAACACGGTCAGGCGCGCGCAGCAAGGTTCGACAGATACTAGGATCTTCATCAAGTGGACAAGAAGAAAGGATATGAGAAACACAAAAATAAAAACACGAAAATGAGAAGGTCGCAGAATGCAGAACCCTTCAGAGGTGAGAAGCAGAAACCAGCCTTTTCCGGGCAAGACTTCCCTGTTGGTCTGTAAACAAAGAGATGTGGCCAACTTCAGAAGCCACCCGGGTTACTCAGAGCTGAGACGGATGTTTGGCGTAGCTCGGTCGACGCTCGATATTCGGGTAAGATCTCGGTTGCGAGGAGATCAAATGGTATGGTGCTATGAGTATCCGCATGCCTCGGGCGTGTGTATGGAAGCCCGTTCATCAGGGAGGCTGTGGATCCTGTATCGCCCGTCTCAGACCGGTTCTTGCTCTTTTCACTGCTGCTATATCCGTAGATATGGGAGCCACAGCCCATCAGAGACATGAAACGTCCGCTGTCCCGAGAAAATGATCTTGTTGATCGGCCAACTGCGCTTGCTCGAAAGTCATCATTTGAATCAAGTGTCTCAAACGTATTGAGCGCTGTACCAGCAGAATAGCCAAGGTGTGAGGGCGTTCCGACCGATGTTATTGGCAGATAATCGAACATTATGTCCGGTGCACTTGACTGACTCGCCTTCCTTGTCTGGTTCAGGGAGTTACCACCAAAGTTCCCGTTCGAGCCAAGCTGCATGCTCGGAAGGCCACTACCCGAGATGGAGGTTCTTGTCGCTAGATGATGTCCATATCTATATTCCGGGGATAACAGCAGTCCTGACATGGCTTCAGGAGTCGCGCTTGGAGAAGACATACCCATCGGGAGCTGGCTGCGGCTGGATGCTTTTGGTAATGTCCGATCAGCGCCTTGTCCATCTGACGGCGTGCATGTCATTGGAACGTCAGTTGACTGAGTTCCTGGGCCTGAGAACAAGAAGGGATATGAGGATGAAGTAAAGGTATTCTCTGTATCTTGGGTAGGAAATGCTGCTCCGCTCTGGGCGTTGTGGGCCTGGACGTTAGAATTCCATGCCTTGGTGTTCCATGCAAGGCCACAATAGTCAGGCAGGATACCTTGGTGCGAACTGGAGAACATGTATGATGACGGAGGATTGTATGCAGTCGGCTCGTTCTCGTAGTTGGCCGTGTGATCAAGACCGAAAGTCTGTTGACTAGGTGGATGCTGAAGGTTGACGGTACCTTGATCGTAACCAGAAGGCCGCGAGAAGGACCCAAGCCGCACACCGAGGGAGTTTGTTGATACAAGTCCAGACCTTTGGGCTACATGCGCATACACCCTTGGCATTGAGGAGGAAGAAACCGTAGCATTTGCTGCATGATACGGCCACCCGGAATCTTTCGTCTGGAGCATTGACGAATTGACCTTGCAAATATCAGCTCGCCAATCTCAATGAGAACATATCCCTCAGGTAGGCTAGCGTCATCTTACCCTTAAGAACTGGCAATTCCTATTGCCAGAGGCCCGGCAGTTCGAACATCCCTGTCCATCACCAATATCCCCGCTGCATTTGATCTTCCTTTTGCGACATCGATTGCACTGCGAGTATCAGGACATGTTTTCCTCTTTCTGTTCAATGTCCACCAAAACTATACGCTACTTACTGCAACTTGGATACGGCGCCTGGTAGAGTTCCGACTTCTGCCGTCGATCTCTAGAGCAGGACTCACGGAACTCGCGCCTCTCTCCATCATCTCCTGTTGGCCATCGGGTCCAGTTGAGGGTGATATTGAATGAGCCTCATGTCTGGATTGCTGATCGGGACCAACCTCGTCCCCGGAGGGGTAGTAAGTATGGGCCATGAGTTCACCGATTAGTGTTGGATTGTTCCTGAGTCTGAGACTCACACATTCAAGTCAAGACAGGTCCAAGGGGTTGAAACGGCTTCTCTCAAAGGTCAGCTGGGAACTTGGAGGAGGTCTTTGAATTAGGGAGGATTGTGTCCAGCATGTTCCGTCTGCCTCAGGTAGAAACTGGGAAAGGAATCGGGGGAAGATGAGAAGGGGGTGTCCTTCAATCGGAATCAAGGTCTGATTTTAAGTCAATGTGCGGGCCATACTTTGTATGAATGTCTGGGGTTCCCTTCCTTTTTCCTTTCTTTTTCTCGAACAAAAAAAAATAGCTTGGGCTGTTATTCCCACACCTTCTGACTGGACCGTTCGAAGGAGAATTATAGATCAGTCATGAGCTTACCTCAAGGGTTCTCAGTGGCTAGTGGAGGCGAGAAGGTTGGTCAGTTTGATACCTGAGTCTTCAGTCTTTTGTTGTACCAGGAGGGCATATGCATTATTCCGTGTTGCATTTAGTTCCAAGGCCAAGTAGATTGGACGCTCCAGAAGCACGCTGATAGAAGGCCAGACAGACAGAATCAAAGGCGTTTTAGAGGTTCTGTTTCACGGAGTAACGTTGCACGAGGCGAACATGACCTGATGGTAACCACAGGAGGGCCTAGGACTCCGGGCTGGAGGACTTAGAGCTCTCTGCGCAAGATCCCAAATCAATTGCCACCAAAAGGACAAGAAGCTCCACCTTAATCTTCATCCCCAGGAGCTTTGTCTCAAGAAGACGATATACTTCCTCTCTCCAAGAGCACATCAAGCGATATGCCAAATCAAGCTGACAACTCAGGTTGTTGCAAAGCGGGCAGCCGCGGATTACGATGGCATAAACTCCAAAGAGCAGTATCTAACTATTTCCCCGAGCTTGAAGAAAGAATAAAGAAGCATGTTTGCCCGTTGAGATAGAGTTGCTGGTTGGAAAGCCTATTGGCCAGGCTTTGCCAGTATTTAGCATCAAACAAACATATTCTGGGAGGTCAAAACTCTGCCAGTACTTTTGACATCGGTCTCTAATCTGAGTCAAGTGTCGAGAATGGCTGCAGTCGCGAGCATTCACTTGAAAGCATATGAATGTCTTTGCGCGGATGTGGAAACGGTTGCCTTATAGACTCGCGCTATACGCAAACGCATAGTCTTAAGGAGCTCAGTTTGATGTCTCGGGTAGCTCGATTCCTAGACATCCAGCATGGTCCGGACCAATGCTTAGGCTTGAATCGACGTGATCGAGCCGCACAAGGCTAATAGGAGCTCAAGACCGTGACTGAATGAATCAGGCAAAGAGAGGCTTGGGAGGAAAGGCAGACTTGGCATGATTTCCAAGTCAGTGGCGCTGTATGATTACCTAGCAGTGGCTGGGCAGTCCCCTTATGTCTGCAAGTCCTTCGCGAGCACTGGACAGGTCGAAATCAAGAAGCGGAGTCAAAGGGAACAAGAAAGAGGACAGGGTTCTTAGACCACCAGAGAATCAAGAACACAATAACAAATCACAAAATGATTATGCAAACTCGGCTTTTGGTCAAACAAGAAAATAGCAGGGGCGTGGGGCCAGGGGACGATTTAGTATGCACGAAGTTCAGGGGTTCATGGAAGACAATATCTTCTCAGGCTGGCACAGCCTGCTAATGCCTGGCTGTCAACCCACACGAACAAGTTTTGCACTGCAATCCATTCCTTTACTGGAACAGTCTCAATCTGATCATGCCAGTATAGCAAAAGTCCCAATAGACTACTTCTCAAAGCAGCCAATAGTCTTGATTGCCATTTTGGGATTCAGCCTCCAACAACAGAATGTTTGTCCTGTCTGGCTTTTATTTAGTGTTTTGTTTCCTTCAATCCGATTGACCGAACAGACCCAAGCTCATGTAGGTTTCGAGCCTGGGCTTGCGGATGCTGCACCAACAGTTCATTCGCCAACGCGACGTGGTCGGGTAAAGTGACTTCGTTTCCGGACGTTAGAATTAGAATAAGAGGGGCAGAGGAGAGAGAGAGGGGGGGGGTGCAAAAAGCTTGTGCATTGTCTCCTGTAGAAAATCAAGTCAAAATTGACCGCTATTGGGACTGCGACCATCCACAAGATGACAGAAGTTAGTGAAACTTCTCAATAGCTCCTTGTTTCGCTCTCAAAAATTAGCCACAGCTTGTCCGAAAGTGGGAGTAGGTCCACCAACATCCACGTGCTTATTTGGAAACAAACATCCTGCCATTGCTGTTTTTCTTCCTTTTTTCCAAGGAGCGGCTCATTGACGCTGTAGGATCTAGTACTGCAGGACATCCCGTTGTCGTTCCTTCTTTCCAACGCCTCTGCTGTGAAACTCGCACCGCGAAGAAGCAGAGCAGAGTAGCACATCAGCTTTGTCTCTAGATTTTGTAGCTTGACGAATAATGACACTGCCATCGTAGGATTAGGTTGTCATTTCTAAGTAGATTTTCTGTCATTGAATAATTCCAGTTGGAGCCAAACGACTGCGTCTCCAAGCCATCTGGATCGACAGTACTGAATTAGTTGCAGCAGCAAACAGTGACTGGCTCTGACCCGCAAGTTAATCTGAATACCCGAGGATCCCCCGGATGATATGCCGCCGATTCAAACAGGGAATTGGTTACACGAGAAGGCGCCGGATAAGGCCTCCGAATGTGCAAGCACCTCGAAATGGTCGATTCCCATTGACGGGGAGAGAGGATGCAATCCCAAAGGGTGTATGACAGTCAAAGCCTCCATCGACCTCTCATCGATCCTGAAGAATAGGATTGCTGCAATGATGGCCAAAGGCGACAAGGTCCCATCCCCGGGTGGTAGACTAATGTGTGGTGTGTGGTAGATGGACAGTAGCTTGAGGATCGACGCAGGTATGTAGTGTGGATTGACTTTCTTTCGGAGGCGGGTCGGCCGCGAAAGTTGCACCTCACCTTAGCTTACACACGCCCTGCAAATCACCTCCAACTCGTCACTCGTATCATTTTCAGTCCCTCTCGCACACCGACTTTGATACTTGGGCCTTTATCTTATTTGTCTGCGCTAACTATCAGCCATATCCTTGTCACTTCTATCTGGTTTTTGTACGAATCTTCACCGTTTCCTGTTCTAGCTACCTGCGGAGCGAGCGCATCGTCGATCTTTGCGACATCGACTGCAGCCGCTAGTAGAACATCATGAGCGTACTTTTGGAGACCTCTCTTGGCGATATTGTCATTGACCTTCTGGTTGATGAGTCTCCTAAGGCGTGTGAAAAGTAGGTTGCCCCAACGCTCCCATTCTTTGTTTGTGGCTATTTCCTTGGTCTGTGCCTGTTACTTGTTACAATGTCGAGTGGCTGAACTAGAGACTAAGCAATCCATTTTCTGCCGATATAGCTTCCTGAAGCTATGCAAAGTCAAATATTACAATTTCTCTCCAGTTCATAGCGTTCAGAAAAACTTCACCTTCCAGACTGGTGATCCTCTCGGTCCCGATTCCCCGGAAAGCGATGGCGGGTCGTCGATATGGGGCCTGTTGGAAGGCCCCGTCAAGAGAACATTTCCATTGAAGCTGTCGCCGAAGCTGAAGCACACGGAGCGCGGAACTGTCAGTATGGCAACAGTACCTTCGTCGCACGATCCCGACGAGCGCCTCGCTGCGAGTCAATTCATCGTCACGCTTGGGGATAACCTGGACTATCTGGATGGGAAAGCAGCGATCTTTGGGAAAGTTGTGGAGGGCTTCGATGTGCTTGAAAATATCAACGGAGCCTTTATTGACGACCAAGGTCGCCCGTTAAAAGATATCCGTATCCGCCATACAGTCATCCTCGATGACCCTTACGATGATCCTCCTGGCTTAGTGGTACCAGCTGAAAGTCCTTTGCCTTCAAAAGCACAGTTAGCGACTGTAAGGATTGCTGACGATGAGGATCTGGATGACAACATGGATGAGGAGGCGATGGAAAAGCTACGGCGAGAGCGGGAGGCCAGAGCGCAAGCATTGACGTTGGAAATGGTTGGTGATCTTCCGTTCGCAGAGGTCAAGCCTCCAGAGAATGTGCTCTTCGTTTGCAAGCTGAATCCTGTTACTCAAGGTATCTATCTTTCCCACATTTTGGTAAAATGGGTCGCCGCTAACTGCGAGTTCAGATGAGGATCTTCAACTGATCTTCAGTCGGTTCGGGCCGATTCTGTCTTGCGAAGTCATCAGAGATAAACGAACTGGTGACAGTCTACAGTATGCTTTTATCGAGTTCGAAAATCAGAAAGATTGCGAACAGGCCTACTTCAAGATGCAAGGAGTCCTGATCGACGATCATCGTATACATGTTGATTTCTCGCAGAGTGTGAGTCTTGTTACGAGCACTTCTCTTTTAACAGTCTCTAATAAGGACATTACAGGTATCAAAGCTGTCAGAAAGCTGGCGAAATGCCACCATATCTAAACGCAGCCAGAGAGGCGGCTTCGGTGGCGTAGCTGAGCTTGAGAAGAAGCGGCAGTATCGGGCGACTGAGAACGTCCGTGAGCGGGATGACTATGGCATGGTTTTCGATAAAGGTGAAGCTAAAAGGCGGCCGGCTTCTCGAGAGCGACGTTACAGTCGGAGTCCCAAAAGAAGCTCCTATCGGGACAGAAAAGACAGCCGCAGCCCCAGACGAGACTTCCATCGGAACCGATACTACAGGAAATCTGACAGTCGAAGTCCTCGGCGGGAAGACTCCTATCGCGATAGAAATCGTGAAAGGTCCTACAATGACGAGCGGCGTGATCGTCGCGATGATGACCAATATCGAGAAAGACGCCGTCGCTAGTCTCCCTATTGGGAAGAGATGAACTATTGGAAGCGATGTACGAGTCGCCCTACGTCAACGCCGACCCGGTATCTTTAAAATTTAATCATGCTACTTGATTGTCTGGAGTTTTGTTCATAACGCGGAATGTAATTTTAGCCTTCATATCAGATCAACTGACCCGACCTATATTAACTCGTTCATCGACATGGAATTGTACCTGGAACCCCCAAGGGCTTCGTCCTCCTAGAAAACGTAGGTAGATACGTCGTGTGGCACTAGAACTAGTACCTTCTTTTCTCCTGCCTATTATTATTTATCTATTGGCCACTAGTCGGTGAAACTGGGTCTGCCGATGGTTTGCCCCGCCCTGAAGGACCCAGAGGTCCAAAGAGCCATTCAGGGAGCTCGAATCGAGACAACCAGAGCTGATATTTATATCATTCGTAGAACTGGGTCGGCCATGGCAGCTAAAAATAATACTACCAGGAGATCAATGGTTTCGTCTTCCTGGCGGTCAGCGGATGGTGAAATACCGAGGGGTAGATAGAAGTTAAAGGCCGAACATCCCAAGCTTCAGCTCAAGTTTCAACTACACCCCGCAATCCTCGAAACAAAACCTCCCCTCTCTTTCTCTCCTTATTTCTCCTTTTCAACGTCCCTCTTCATCTGATACCCTCTTAAGACTTAATCATCAATATGGCCGCAGCCATTAAAGAGACAGTCCACAGCTTCATGGAGAGATTCCATGGTCATCCAGAGAACCTTCCCCGTGAACCATCTGCTGAAGAGTTCCAGCAGCTTAGACAAAAGTACACCGATGCAGGCCAGGGACATGTCTTCGCATTCGTTGACGAATTACAAACCGTCGAGAAGTCCCAGCTCTTCCACCAGCTATCAAACTTCGACCCTATCCGAATTAACGAACTCGCCGACAAAGCTCTGAACCCTCCCAAAGCAGAAGATAGGCCCGCTTCGCTTGAACCCCTGCCAGATGTCGCCACTGCATCGATTCTCGACTCAGATCCCAAGGCTATCGAACAATGGTATGAGGAGGGGCTCAAACTTGTGGCGGGTAACAAGGTTGCGGTCGTCCTGATGGCAGGTGGACAGGGAACCCGTCTGGGAAGCTCCGCGCCGAAGGGCTGCTTCGACATCGGGCTTCCTAGTCACAAGTCGCTTTTCCAGATCCAGGCGGAGAGGATCGCTAAGCTCCAGCTACTTGCTCAGAAGATTTCAGGCAAGGAGGCTGTCATCCCTTGGTACGTCATGACCAGTGGACCTACCCGCAAGCCCACGGAGGAGTTCTTCGAACAACACAGATACTTTGGACTGAACAAGAGCGATGTCATCATCTTTGAGCAAGGCGTCTTGCCATGCATCTCCAACGAGGGTAAGATCTTGATGGAGAGCAAGTTCAAGGTACGTTTCGCAGTCTCATGCTAAAGTTTTGCTGCGCTTGTTGGGTTTCTGACAGGAGAAAATAGGTCGCTGTTGCTCCTGATGGAAACGGTGGTATCTACCAGGCCCTTCTTACATCCGGTGTGCGAGAGGATATGCGCAAGCGGGGAATTGAGCATATTCACACTTACTGTGTCGACAACTGCCTTGTCAAGGTGGCGGATCCTGTGTTCATTGGTTTTGCCGCATCGAAACAGGTTGATGTCGCTACAAAGGTAGTCCGGAAGCGCAATGCTACGGAGTCGGTCGGTCTGATCCTGCAGAAGAACGGCAAGCCCGATGTGGTCGAGTACTCTGAGATCGACAAGGAGACGGCGGAGGCGAAGGATCCCAAACAGCCCGACGTGCTCAAGTTCCGTGCCGCTAACATTGTCAACCACTACTACTCCTTCAAATTCTTCGAATCCATCGAAACTTGGGCGCACAAACTGCCTCACCATGTTGCCAGAAAGAAGATTCCTTGCATCAAGGAGGATACTGGTGAGTTCTTCAAGCCGGAGAAGCCCAACGGTATCAAGCTAGAGCAGTTTGTCTTCGATGTCTTCCCCATGACTCCCTTGGAAAAGTTCGCTTGCATCGAGGTTCGTCGTGAGGATGAGTTCTCACCGTTGAAGAACGCGAGAGGCACTGGGGAGGATGACCCCGACACCAGCAAGCGGGATATTATGAGCCAGGGACAGCGCTGGATTGAAAAGGCGGGCGGTATTGTCATTACTGAGGGCGATGCTGTTGGTGTTGAAGTATCTCCATTGATCAGCTATGTAAGTTCCTCCCTTCCCCCTTCATTTTCAGTCATTTTGAAGAATCCTTGCGCTGATCAGGGCAAATTTCTATAAGGGCGGAGAGGGTCTTGAGTTCCTGAAAGGGCGCGAGATCAAAGCACCAGCTTTCATTGAAAAAGAAGAATAAAAGAGCCATGGTGTTTTTCTTGTCATTTCCTATCGGATTATTGACAGGTATATCTTCGTCCTTTGCGTCAGTATGTCATACAAAACCGAAGCCGTTTACTCATATGTGGGTCTCACTATCCGGTATGCTGGATTGCTGACCGCAGCCGGGGAGCTTCCTATCTAGAGATTTGTATCCCTTTTCAGCTTCTTTCGGCCCGTATCAACGGTTACATTATGAGAATGTTCCTAGTCTACTTTGCATCGCGATGAATCTCCCAGGAATGGAGCACATCCGCTACAGCAGCTGCTCGTCAGTAGCATCAGTTGTGTAATCTCAAGAATCCTTAGCCGAAAATAAAAACAGGCAGTTACTTTACTCTGACAGATGTATCTGCGAGGTATTCATTCTCAATATTAACAAAAGACAAACCAAAATTATATACAAGTATTTCTCTATATAAAATCGCAGAGAAGCTCTAGCTTTAGGAACGTGTGCCTCAGAGCCGTGCGCAATCTGGGGAGTTAAGCAACCTTACGCAATGCGGAAAAGCCCGGGAGCTAAAGCTTTTCATGTTTTGCCCTGAGAAGAAAAGCCCTGCGAAAAGAGCATGGTCGCTGTCTTGCTTGGCTAAATCGCTTGATTCAATTCAGGAACTATCTTTTTCTACCTCTCTTTGTGCATTACCAGAAATATAAGGTTCTTTCCATCTTTCTTTCGTTCCTCTTGTGGTTTGGAGGGATTGGAGTGCTGTGAGGGTTCAGTTTGAGCTGCATTGTAAGTTTAACCTTTTTTTGTGTGTGTCTCTCTTTGGGTGTTGGTCGCTTTTTCTTTGTCAGCCCACTTTTTCCAGTTGAGAGAATAGTGGGCTGTTGGAAGCGCTGCGCATCCTCCAAGGTTCTCAAGCTGACAGCCAAAATAGACCTATTGAGAAGGAGATTGAAGATCGTTGGTTTCAGAAGAGTGAGTCTATTATATAAATTGTCTTCGTGACCCGGTCTTTGTTTGCGTGCGTGGACTGGCTCGTCGCTGCTATGTTCCCTTCGGAGATAGTGTCGCATTGTCGTTGGCTTGCCAATCCCATTTTGAGAGACTGGACAACGATGAGTCTGTCCCGACAGCATACACTGCGACTTTGTTATTACAATTAAAGCTTGCGATTGTCTCCGAAGCTTCGAACTGCTATGCATCATACATCGGCCACGGTCATGCGCAACAGACGCCTTCAGCGGCGGGGTTTTGCAAAATGGCATCAGCAGAACTGACAGAAAAATTCATTATATAGCTTATACCACCGGAAAAATGTTGCTGTCTCGTCGTGCCTGCTACAAGTGTGGCAACATTGGTCACTATGCTGGTTAGTGCAAAGCCGGAGGGAAGAGGTTTGGACAAGGAGGATTGTCGCTGACTGACGTAGAGGTCTGCTCCTCGTCCGAGCGTCTCTGCTACAACTGTAAGTGCTTTGATTCAAGGAGGAGTTTTTCGAAATACCTTGCTAATGTGTCGATCCCCTGTCAATTAGGCAAGCAACCTGGTATGTCCCTTGCGTGCTACCTACCCCCGAACCATATGTCTGACCCCAAACGATAGGACATGAGTCCAGCAGCTGCCCGCGTCCTCGTACTACCGAGAGTAAGATTGTCCAATCCCAGGCTCTGGAAAACGCAATGATGTTGACTCGTCGATAATAGCCAAGCAGTGCTACAACTGCCAGGGACTAGGCCACGTTCAGGCCGATTGTCCTACTTTGCGTCTCAACGGTGGAGCAAATGGTCGCTGCTACAACTGCAACCAACCCGGCCATCTTGCTGTACGTCGCTGTCGACCATGCTCTCTCTCCCTTCTACCTTTAGGATCCGGCTGACTTGGATGGTGCTCCAGCGCAACTGCCCCGCTCCTGCTTCTGGTGCCGGTCGTGGTGTCGGTGCTCCCCGCGGGGGATTTAATGGTGGATTCCGCGGTGGATACAGTGGTTACCCTCGTGCCGCTACTTGCTACAAGTGCGGTGGTCCCAACCACTTCGCTCGTGACTGCCAAGCTCACGCTATGAAGTGCTATGCTTGCGGCAAGCTTGTAAGTGCTCTCACCTGCAGATGCCTTTGACTAAGGCGTTGGCTGACGCTCTGAAGGGTCACATCTCCCGTGACTGCACCGCTCCCAACGGTGGCCCCCTGAGCTCGGCTGGCAAGGTCTGCTACAAGTGCTCTCAGGCCGGCCACATCTCCCGCGATTGCCCTAACAACGAGGCTGCTAACCAGCAGCCTGCTGAGTCGGCTACTGCTCCTGCTACCGCTGCCCCCGCTCCTGCCGCTACCACTGCCGCCGCTGAGGTCAGCGCCGAAGCTGCTCCTGTTCCGGCCCCAGCTCCGACCGCCGCTGCCGCTTAAACGACCACCTTTATCTCGTCTATGAATCCCGCTTTAAGGGAAGCCCATTTTTACTCCTCCTTTCGTATTAGGGTTTTGCGGAACTCGGCCTTGATATCTTTTTTTTCCCTCTCACGATTCTTCCATTGCATATATTATGCCCCCGGTTTCAGGCTTCTCAGCACCGGCCTTTTTTATCCCTATTATGTATACGACGAACAAAAGTTTCACGATGTCCCTAGGTTCCTGACGACTTGGATCCTACACATGGCTCAAGGTTCTCATGATTGGCGTCTATTGTTCTCCCCGGGTATCTTTCTCATTTGAATCATATGGTGCGGCAAGGAAAGAAGGAGACGAGGCGAGGCGAAGGTTAATTGAGCGCAGGAGAGACATTGGTGGACCGGAGTGAGCGTGTTGATATGTATAAGAAGGGTTGACAAGATGGTACGGACGATTTTGATGTGCTGAAGATTGTGAAAGACAAGGTCCCTGGCGCGGTGTGGCGACCTCATCTGCTCGTACTTACTGCCTCCTCTTATGCTTATCCAGACGGATAGCGGGAAGAAGAAATTTTCCAGAATAAATTAACAGATGAAACTTCAACTTCATGAAAGTCCTGCTCTTCCTGCCTATGCTACACTTTTACTTACGAGTACGTTGGGCCTTGGACGACTCTTCCACTCCCACTGCAGCCTCAAGTTCTGAGGATGATTTGCTACGTGCCCTCGTCTTTTCTTTCATCATTATTACTGCTTAAGACTTGGCTGCTCTGTGTTGAGTCTGTTCTGGTCTTGTAGCCCCGTTTCCTGTTACGGCCAGACCCCGTGACGACTGGTCTACCTCGCGTCTTCTGCTTTCTCCCAGTCCTGGGCCAGATCTGTTCTGCACTGTACTCCAGTTAATCCTACTATATATCGTTGCTGTTATCATCCTATCATTATCTTCTTCTTAAGTAGCCATTACAAGCACTTGATAAGTCATCATGCCTGAATCGGAATCAGGGGATGAGTTTAACGACGATGTAGAGTCTCCTTCCCATTTTCTGTCTTGCTTGCTGAAACTCCAGGTCGCGCTATATGCGGCCGATGTGCGAGGTCTAAATAGACGATTAACTCTTGATCACTCCAGGCCTTTATCGTTGATATCGACCGCATTCAGGCTCATGGTACATCTTGTCTCACCGGTGCACATTCCCATTTGAGCTGACTGTGCTTGAAGGTATTGGCGCTGCAGACATCACCAAGCTCAAGGCAAATGGTTTCTACACTGTGGCTGTAATGCATCCTCTCCGCTTTTTCTATGCCGTGGTGTTGTCCTCATATGAACTCACTCTCTTCATAGTCGGTTCACGGTGCCACCCGGAAGACGCTTCTTAAGATAAAGGGTTTTAGCGAGGTCAAGGTCGAGAAGATCAAGGAGGCTATACAAAAGTGCATGGTAAGGACTAGCATGAAACTTCTGCCCTGAGAATCAGAGTGAGAAGCTCGTCTGACATTGCTTAGCCAGCTGCATCGGGATTCATAACTGCTATGGAGTTAAGTCATCAACGCAAGCGAGTCGTCAGGATCTCAACGGGAAGCAAGCAGTTTGATGCAATTCTCGGGGGGTGAGTTACCAGATCTGTACCGGACCTGCACCTCTCTGACTTCTCCCTAGTGGTTTCCAGAGCATGAGTATCAGTGAAGTCTTTGGAGAATTCCGTTGCGGTAAAACACAACTGTCTCACACAATGTCCGTCGTCGCCCAGCTTCCTAAGGAGATGGGTGGTGCAGATGGCAAGGTCGCCTATATCGACACTGAAGGCACCTTCAGACCAGAGCGCATTGCTCAGATCGCAGAGAGATTTGGCGTCGATCCCGATTCTGCTCAGGAAAATATTGCTTACGCTCGCGCTCTGAACAGCGAGCATCAGCTGGAACTACTCAATACTCTGAGCAGAGAATTCGCCGGAGGCGAGTACAGATTGTTAATAATTGACAGTATCATGAACTGCTTCCGAGTGGATTACTGCGGACGAGGAGAACTTGCGGACCGTCAGCAAAAGCTGAACCAGTTCTTGATGAGACTTGCACATATGGCTGAAGGTTTGTAGCTGCCAATACCCTTTACGATACTTTATAGAACTAATTCAGATTTCTCTCTCAGAGTTCAACGTCTGTGTCTTGATGGTATGTTTACTTCCTCTTTGCAGCGAACCAAGGCTCACATCAATCTGGAGACAAACCAAGTCCAAAGCGACCCGGGTGCCAGTGCTCTATTTGCGGGAGCTGATGGCCGTAAGCCTGTTGGTGGTCATGTCCTTGCGCATGCATCCACAACACGAGTCCTCCTTCGCAAGGGTCGTGGTGAAGAACGCGTGGCGAAGATACAGGACTCTCCAGGTTTGTCTCCTTCCAACGCTTTCAACAGAACTGGTCTGATCGCCCGAAGACTGCCCCGAGCGAGAGGCGACCTATGTGATTACCAACGGTGGTATCAATGATCCAGACAAGGTCTAAAATCTGAGAGTGGTGGTCCCCATGCATAGGAGAAAAGAGCATACGATTACAAGACGGGATATCACACCTGGTGAGCGGGCGGCAGGTGAGATGGAACGCAGTAGCTAGTTAAGAATACTGTTGATTTCGGGAGTTTCAAGGAAAACCATGTATGAGATGAAAAGTTAAATTGTTGGGAGATGTCCTAGTTATATTTGTTTGAGCTGGATCTACCATGTGCACAATAACACTGTAGTTATGGGTTGTCGATCCTGCGTGGTACTCCGCCTAGTCTCCGCCTTCCAAAATTATCCAAATAATTTTCCGCTAGAGCAAAACTTCTCAGTAACCAAAAAGAAGGTGTTTCTTCGCCGCGCAATTATTTTGTTCATAGCGACAGCCGGTCGCTCGTCTTTTCCGGACTGCCAAAATGAAGAAGCAGTCTCTTGAAATAGCAGGCTACGCAATCCTGCCTGTTCAACTCCCCGAATCACGAGCCTTTCCTAAGCCTGCAACACATTACCTCTACCTCCGGCCTCACGAACCTCGCATTCCCGACGCCGATTCTCCCCGTTCTCTTTTCGTCGTCAATGTACCGATAGACACAACCGAGCTACATCTGCGCCACTTGTTCGGTACGCAGCTCTCCGCGGGTCGAGTCGAAAAAGTCCATTTCGAAGGAGTCCCGACGAAGAAAGGCTCCGTGTCCATTACACAGGGAAGCGTCTCGAAAAGCAGGAAGCGAAAGAGGGTTACGGCAGACGAACTACAGGACCAACTCGACGACATTTCGTTACCATCAACATGGGACAGGGAATTGCAGAAGAGCGGTGCTCACGCCGTCGTAGTCTTCGCGGACAAGTCGAGCATGGAAGCCAGTCTGAAAGCTGCGACCAAAGCCGCGAAGAAGAGCGCCAAGATTGTTTGGGGGGAAGGCATCGAGGATAGATTACCTGCGCTGGGGCTCCAGCGGTATCTCAACCACTGTCAGGCCAGCTACCCGAATCGGGCTGACCTGCTTCGCACGGTGAACGACTTCATGACTGTGTTTACGCAGGTCGCGGAGGCCCGTAAGCGTGAGGAGGCTCGCAGGGCTCAGGAGCCGGACGAGGATGGGTTCATTACTGTAACTAGTGGGCCGAAGCTTACGTCTATTGCGCATGAAGAAGAGGCTCGGGCACTGGTTGAGAAGCAGAAGAAGAAGCAGGAGGGTCTGGAGGACTTCTATCGGTTCCAGTCGCGTGAGAAGAGGAAGGAGAGGCAGAACCAGTTGCTGAAGAGGTTTGATGAGGACCGGAAGAAATTGGAAGAAATGAAGAGACGCAAGGGGAAGATTAGGGTAAGACATTCCACTCATTCGCATTCTAATACCTTTTAACTGACTACTTTGCAGCCTGAGTGATGTCCCTAGTTCAATACGTTCAACAAAATATCTCGTTTAGCATGGCGTTCAGGACGGTTGGGCCCAAAAAAGTTTTTTTATTATGAAAGATAGAGAGGGTGAAGGATTGAAGGTTATTGAGTACATGTGAGTCACCCTTTTCTTATTCTTTCATTTTCCGTTTGACCCCATACAATGATGAGCACGCTGGGGCCAGAGTAGCAAGACTCATTTCGATGTCATGCAATGCCTTCAAAAACCAGCGATAAATGAAATCTTCTCACCTCTGAAGGATGGAGCCATTTCACCATATCGCGCTTGTCCCTCAGCACATCTATCGCAGTGGCTAACGTATTTTGTCGAAATAGGTCTATACATCTCGAGGCATTTTCTGGTAAATATTAGATACCTTAGGACGTTCGAGAAGAAATACAACGCGGATCTTTAGATCGGTTATGCCGGCGATTGTTGAAGATTATTTCGTACTGTACTGCTTCATCTCTGCTCCTACACGAGCCTTACTATAGATACTATCCACCCTTGTTTCAATAGCAAGCGGCTAGGTCCCTGTCGTCGTTCTCGTCCATGTAGACAGAGGTACATGGTAAGCCGGCCACATGGGAGTTACGCACAGACCAGTTGAACAGAAAGGCTTGGCAATGACATCTTCAACCCAACATCATATGACCGATCAACGTGTGTGAAGCATTATCGCCAGTTACATACTTTTGCTTGGTATTTACGGACTATTCAATAGGGGGGGATAATGAGAGTGGCGTATCGTATTTCTGGTTGAATCATACGTCGTTGTTGAACGAAATATCAGCCCCTAAGAACGAGGATATATATTGAAGCTTGCACCTTGAGCTTACCATTGTTCAAGATTACAGCACTCATAAAAGCTATCGTCGAATCTTGGAGCTTTACAATAGCCTACTAGTCTCTCCATCACAGCACCATCAATGGCATCAACCGCAGCTGATGGCCTCGGGGCCGGGGGCTTCATGCAGCCGTCTATTCCATCACCTGCACCGTCATCTATGTCAAGCTCAACAGCGACTCCGGTGCTCCCAAAGCCAAGGTCACATCCACTCAAGGCAGGGTCGATGAAAGAGACGACCGTCATCAATCATATTGACACGCAACTTCTGAAAATCAACCGGCGGCACGCCAAGAAGTTCAGCAGCACATACGACGACCAGTCACAGCAGGACCCGGAAAGAGGCTACGAGAGCTTTCAGGAAGTAGCCAAGGATATCGAAGGACTCATTGATGTTCTCTGGGTTAGCGGAACACGTATGTCATTATCGTAATGATTGAATAAAACGAAGTCCTACTGACGGTTTCCCAGCATCGCTGCAAATACCGTACATGATATCTCTGGCGGTATTGGTCAACTCGTATCTTCCGGATTTTCCGTTCTCGCCCAAGCCGACTTTCCGCCTGTTGAGAAAGTTGGACTCGGTCTTTGCTTCTTTGCTGCTTGGGGAAGACGTTGAGTCCGGGGCTCCTCTGTCTGGGTTTGAGAATAACCCGAATCTCATCTCTATGACAGAGAAGGTGCGGATTAAGAGTATTGCAGAGACATGTCGGGTTGCTGTTGTGGAAGCTAAAGAGAGTGACAAGTCCAAAGCGGGGGAGGAGCACGACGAGAACTCGAGTGATGATGAAGATGAGGATGAGGATGAGGATGGTGTTTATGGTACGGAAAAGTACGAAAGCATTGGGAGGTGGGAGATGGAAACTGCTAAGGTCTACGAGAGGACGATTGAACTGCTCGGGGATGAATTGGGGAAAGCGGGCGAGTTCTGCGATAGTAATTTTGCAGCTGGTGAGTCGAAAGAAGCATAGGTGAAATGAAAGATACTGCACTCGCTTTTCTAGACACTTCAATTATTAGACACTGTCTGGAGTCGCTGGCCCTGTGAGCTCTTGATTGAATAGTATACAGTACGTCTTTGGCATGGACTCGGCTGAATCAGAAAAGCTACGCTAAACAGCGCTCGCAATCGACTCAAGCCGGCGCAGTCCTCTTTCTTCCTTTTCTTAGCTCTGTCGCTACCGTTGTTGTCTCGTGATTCGAGGAAAACGCGTACCAAACACTTGATGGAGCCAGCCGTACTTTTCTAGCGGAGTGGACAAGACACTCCCCACTTCGTGAACAAAGCGAGTTTTGAGCGGTTCAGTATGGTTCGTTGAGAAAGATCAGAATGCACTTCTGTACACCGTTTCGAAGCATTCTAATTGTTATGAAAGTATATCTACTGTCCCTGGGGAAGGAATACTAGGGGTTGATATTTCACATCCCATCAGTATACTCTATCTTTCTGGTATCTTTGTTGGGTGGTGTGATGACTGATTAATTGTCGGCTCGTTGGGCAGCGTTCTAGTATCCATTCCATGGTTCGATTATTACATTAAATGCGTTTTTGGAGGGATGATCATTGGATGAATGATGGCCCTGAAGAGCACAAGGAGCTTCACATGAGTCTAAGACGTATAGTATATAGATTTTTATATATTGTAGACAGAATCCTTGGAAGTGGAGATCGGTTGTTAGGGAATCTAAGGAGCAGAACTGAGGCAGCATGGATACCTTACCTTAGTAATGTTCCATATGTGCCTAGGGTAGGTTGGTATGGAACACATACCTAGGTAGGTTACGGACAGATGCATCCAAGACCAGGTGGGCATTTGCATGAGTTGAGGGTCGAAATATCTGCAAGGGGCCTTGCATCCTGGGGTACGAGACTGGTAATCCACCCACTTGCTACAGACTTAGTTCGAGTTACTTGACGCAATTGTAGCATTGGAAAAGGATGTTTAAGTTGAAAGGGAGCTCTAGACTCTATTTTTCCATCGAGAATGAAAGAATAAGCTAGGTCATGGCCATTTTCTGACCATCAGACTCAACCTCCCGTACGGAGGCATGCTCACAGTTCAGTAGTGGTCGGTCTGTATGCAAGGACGACAATCTTAAAGCAGGGATGTTAATGTACAATTTGAACGGAATTCGAAGCCGAACGCTGTGCTTGTGTAATGTCCCTTACTCATGCTTAAGTGCTACTGCTACATGAGTTATTATCATTGACGGTGTTCAATCAAAAGTCCATGAGGCCATCGCGTATGTTTCAAAGTCCTAAATTGACAGGTTGATCGCGTCGCGTACGCGTGCAACGATGTAAGAATGGAGAAGGCTTCTCGAATGTCAAAGAACCGAGTTATGACACGACACAGCTTAGGATTGATACCACAAATATCAATTGCGGTTTACAAAGATGCAGGTTTATGAACCCTTGTACTGGAAACTCATGAGGCTGAAGTTTGTAACTCCAAAGAACGGCAATCTCTGCCTGTGATGGGCAGTCTGGCTGGACACGTACCTTACAGTGCCCAGAAGGCTAGGCCATACAAGGAAACCAGAACGCATACCGAAATTTTACTGTTCAAGTAGCTTAACTAAGGAACGTCGGCCTGTAGGCTCCAGCCAATGGTACAATTATACCAAGGTCTCCAAATTATTCCATCGATGTGGTTGTTGGTGAAGTTCAGCTGGCGTCCTTTCCTCTCTTTTTCCATGTAAACCAGGACTTTAGAGAGTGTACGGTAAGTTATCTCAAAGATATCTACTGTCAGGCCTCGTGGACAGGGCGCTGCCTGCTGGATGCCCGCTAGACACTACTATGCCTCTGCCACGTACGAGGAACAATAGGTATCAATGGGTTCACCTTGCTTCTTGATAAAATGTATTGACAGAAAGCCCCAGTGATGTACACATAATCATGAAACCATTGACCATGGCTCTGGGGCATAAAAGTGGGACCTTTTTCAGCCTTCCAAACTCCAAAGACCTCATCACTCTTTCTTTGGGTATCGGCACTGTCCAGAAACTCATGGCTGAAAGAGTTTAGTAAGTGGCCACATTCCTTGTCCTCGAGGTCTTAGAGCCTAAAGATGTTCACTTCAACCGTGACTGGCTTGTACAGGAACATAAGAATCTTTGACACTGATTGGTACACTTCCAAGTTGAGTTCAGGGCACCTTTCCGCTTCTACACTGTAGGCGGAGTCAAGGAAATTTAATCCCAAGCCATGACTGGTGTGGCTGCGAACGGTATCTAACCGATCTGCAAAATTTCCTCAGTCTCAACCAGTTCGAACGACCGAGACAGAGGCGGAGCCATAAAAACTAACACTTATGACGATAAGGTCCATGGACGCGGATGGGGCCTCGACGAGTCAGAGTGCAAGAACATGATGAAAAAAGAGCTTTGGGGTTCCTTAGCCCCAGACTGCATGTGCATCGCTTCAGATCCTTGCAGATTCTGCGCAGCAGCATTATTAATATTACGACCAGCCTGTAATATTACTGTACAGGGCTGGTTACAACTTGAAATGAGAGTACCTTAAGGTAAGGACGGATGTCGTCTCGATTTGTAGATGATATTCATCATCATCACCTGAACTTCATCTACGGCCTGGATGAACTACTCCAAGCCGGTAGGCCGTCTTGGGTTCCGTAAGCCTTGAGCTTGAGAACGCAATCTTAAGAGTAAATAATACTCCTCAAGCTGCCGTCTCCAGATTATGACGGTGATATTAATACTATGTGCCTAACGGGTGTTTTAGCAGTTCACCTGTCCCAAAGATTACTGGCCGAGGGTTGATCAGAGATATTGTGGAATGAACCATCACTGGAACTGTTCGTTGTGTCGCTATGTTCTCGTATCCCAAGGATCATACTAGTTGCATAGCCGAGCTACCTTGCTGTAGTTTTCTAATCTACCGAATAGAAGAGGATCAGGCATCAAGGACAGAGCATCGCTAGATGAAGAAATAGGTGTAGGTGGTCTAAGTGAGGTACCTGATTTTGGTATGCACTTTACACCATATGTAAATGTTGTGGTAAATCCCGGTAAGGCCGCGATCCCACCATGAAATCCAGATCTGCAAAGTGCGCTAGACTAGGTACCTGCTAGATAGCGACAGGCTTACGCCCTAGGGCGGCAGGGCCCTAGAGGTAGGACTGTAGGAGGCTAGGTCTATCCCGGGCAGGTATCTACATTATTACGCTTGAAAGCCTGAACACCTGAGCCACAAACCCTATCTATCTATGGTAGGCATTGAGTGGTTACAAAGACAAAGACAAGGAGTCTAGGTTGCAAAGCTACTACGAGGAGAACAGCATCGTAATTTAGAAAGATTTTTGTTATAAATATTTCTGATATTGTCGGGTTTGAATGAAAGAGAGGAAGAAAGATTCGGCAAAATGCTGTCCCACACCTGACATTATTGGTACTGAGAGATGATGCGCCCCCTCATCTCTTTCCAATTTCCTCCTCCAGGCAGCCCGTCTTGGTGTTCAAACCTGTAAGGTAGGGTATTATTAAGGTATTACCTTACTAACTATACCTAATTATTATTCTTTGAATCTTGTTTCGTTTGTTCGTTCGTCTAAGTAAGCTATTCTTTGCGTCTACTGTTCGGGTCTGCCCTACCTGCCTGCGTTAGGTTGGTTGGTTGGTTGGTTGTAATTATTATCTCCAGGAATTCTTCCCATTTTTTCCCTTTCCCTCTTCTTTTCCCTCTTCTCCCCTCCTTCATCGTCCGAAGAAGAATATCTGACTCTTCTACCCCTCCTCTTCTCTTTTCTTCGTAATCCCTCTCCTTCCTTCTCCTGTTTCTTGTTCTTGTCGGAAAAGACGGAGTCGGTTTTCGGATAGTTCTGTTACCTCTTCTTGTGCCTTTTTCACTTTTTTCTTCACTTTTACTTCTCCACTTCGCCGGTCTTCGTCGTCCTTGGTGTCTCTCGTCGCGTCGTTGTCTTAACGAGTAGTCTCGCCTTCGCGCCTCGCCAATCCATCGCATATCTTATTTTCTTTTTTGCCTCTGCGAAAAGAAGTCAAGTTTAAAGGCGCTTCTATTTGATATACCTGGTAAGCCATATTGAATTTTCTTTGCGCATTACGTCGCCCCGCACGGTCCCTATCGGCCCTATTCCCTCTCATATACCATCCCTACTGTCCAGAAGCGGTGGTGCACCTTGAAAGCTCAGACTTTCTGCTCTGGGATCTACATTCTTTCACGGCTCAATTCATTTGCCGTCATTCTTGAATACTGCGCGGGGGTCGTGAGATTCGTCTAAGAGTCTCCATTGGCGCTGCCCATCACCTGCGCAAAACCGGTTGCTTTTTCGCCTTGACAGAAAGGATCCCGCTACATGTCGGACAGTCGGACCGACTCATAACGTCTTTCGATCGTGTCTTCGACTTTGTGAAATATACAATCCACTGTTATGGCTTGGTCCGATGGGAATCCCTCTGTCTGGATTGGCGGGGACGGTCGCAACCGGAGTGGACTTGAACCAACGTTGACGAAAGCGGCCGCAACCTGGCGGAGACGCGCTACTACACGCTTCACAATACTGGATCTGTTCCCTTTCGGTCGCTTCGCTTAGCAAATCAGCATTCCGACTTTTCCGTCACTTTTGGAGCTTCAGTCGCTGCAGTTTTCGTCTTGGCAATTAGTGAATCGTGAAGAGCGCTACGCTGAGTCGGGTAATGGGGATTTGTGCCTCAACATTGAATGACATGCCTTTTTTGGGTATCGGTCGTTGGTATCTGCCTCACGCTATACTTCACCTTCAGTCACTCAGCGCTCGTTTCTCAAATCCCGCGATCTCCAGTCTCACTTTGAAGGCGCTCGTCAAATTCTTGGTTCAATCGCACTCCTGTTGTGACTTGTGAACCATTATCCATCATTGCCCCAATTCTATCTCGGCTTCTAAATCCTCATTTTACTAACCACTACTTGTGTCTTCGTGACAGGGAGCGAATTAGTTTTCTTTCGAGT